ACCTGTTATACATTAAAACATCAGGCCTCCAACAAAGGATGACTAAAGTTATCATGAAGATCTACGTCACGAGAGATCCTACCTGTTATACATTAAAACATCAGGCCTCCAACAAAGGATGACTAAAGTTATCATGAAGATCTACGTCACGAGAGATCCTACCTGTTATACATTAAAACATCAGGCCTCCAGACCTTGTTGGGAGATAAACGAATGTCTTTGATGTTGTTGTAATCCGCCGGATTCCACTGGAGATTGGCGTCTGTCCATTCCTGGATTTAGAATCAGTATTAGTACCCAGTTTAGGAATTATAATTTTCTAAACTAATTTCGATCTACTACAGAAATAAAAGTTTCTTCGTTATTCATTCACACAGATGAAAGACAATCAACTTCACCAAATTTTAGTAAAAATTCTTCTTCGTGACAATTGGTTGAACTGAAAAAATAAACAACTGGTTTGTCCACAGAAAATCTTTTTACTTTGAGTAAAAAAAAATAGGAAGAGTATATAAAATCATTGTTTTAATACTAGTAACAAACAACTTGATAACACCAAATTGGACACTTACCGTTTCGCTTTACAGCAGCGTTTCACTAAAACACAAACCGTAACTGACATTAAAAAGCTTCAATTGTGTTATAAGGTCGTTTATTACTAACATTAAAACGTCATTTGCACACCAATATGCACTATATAAATTAAATGACGAGTGTCTTGTTTTGTTTGTTTGTTATTAAACACAAAGCTAAACAGTGACCTCGCTGTACTCTGACAACTGCGGGTATCGAAACCCAACTTTTAACATTGTAAGCTGCGACACTTACCGCTGAGCCACCGGTAAAGTAAAAAAGCGTGATTAAAACCGATGCAGGATTTTTCTCAATAAAAGTATAACCAGGGGAATTTTCTTCCTGTTTTATTAATAGAGTCAGGTGAAAGTAGTCACAAAAGTTAATACATAAATATTTTACTGATTTGTTAGATTAGTTTCAACTTCAAAAACATGAAATATTCGTTACTACGTTCATATTTAAGCTCTGTATTGCTTTCTTAGAAACTCATAAATAAGAAATTATTGTAATGTTTTTCTTGGTTAGACTGAATTTATATTAGCGCTTTAATTTCGATTTTACATGCTGTACTTAGTCATTACAATGTTTTCTCTTATTTATAGTACTCAGCTGGAAATCGGAGAGACTGGATAAGTTACTATAACGATTTATAACGCCATCTACTAGCAGGTTTGTGACTAAGCTTTTTTTGTGTGTTGAAACACTGTCTACTATCGTGTTACACCAAATACAGCATTGTTGAAGCATTACCTATTAATGAGTTTCGTCTAAATACTACATGCTATGAAGCGCCACCTACTAGCAGTATTGTAACTAAAAGCCGTTGGAAGAAAATCTCCATCTGTTAGTGGTGCTGTAACTAAGTGCTACATGTGTCGAAACACAACCTACTATTGCTACTGCATGTCTTGAATCACCACCTACTATCATCTTATACCGTAATACAGCAATGTTGAAGCGCCACCTACCAGAAACTTTCAAACTAATGATCGCCACTTGCTAGTGGCTTTTTAAAGTAATCGTTGCTTGTGTTGAAACACCACCTAATACTGTTACAGCATGCAATAAAGCGCCCCTACTAACGGCTTTGACTTAAATACTGCATGTAATGAAGCGCCACCTACGAGTAGTATTGTAATTAAGAAGCACTAGAATTAAATTTTCCTCTAGCACTCTAATGGTTCAGCAGGAAGTCTGTAGGTTTCCGACGCTAAAAATCAGGTTTAGATACCGTGATAGGCAGAGCACAGATAATCAATTGTGTAACTTTGTGCTTGACAACAACCACTAAGTGCTGTAATTAAGTGCTTCTTACGTTGTCTCAGGTGATCCAGTTACTGTATCGTATAAAATATGTCCAAAGATAGCAAGCTTTTGATACTACAATATTTTCTTCTTATTATACAACACGATGTTATCGATCTCTGGTAATTAAATATAAACAAATTAATATTGTGAAACGAACGAACTCTTAACATCTTTCCTTTCAGTTCGATTCTAGAAGCGACTCTTATTTCCTTTGATTTAATATATTTTTTTAAATCCAGAATTATTAGAGTTACTGAAAAAGTATATAATCAAAGAGCAGACACGATACTACAATATTGAAGTTTTAGCAATCAATAAATTTACAGCTCCGATTAAGATAAAAATAAGTAACAGCTCTAAAAAAATATATATATACACTTCATAATATAGAATAATTAGAAATTACTTTCAGTATGAAACATTATTCGCTGAATAATTCATGTTAACAAAAAAAATTCTTTACAACAATTAATTAACGGAATTTCCACGCGATATTTGACGTCAGCCAATAGGAATTTCTTTTTGTCACGAAGCACAAAGCTACACAATAGGCAATGCTCTGCTTACCGCGGGTATCAATACCCGATTTTTAACGTTATAAGCCCTCAGGCACGCCGCTGGGTCCAATAGGAAACTGTTTGTGATTGTTATTGCAACTGTTTGTTATGAGATAAATGACGTCATCTATTATTAGGACTTTAAATTAACCAATCAATTTTCTCAAATTAGTTTTGACTTTTGCATGCGCTTAACTGAAAACCAGGTTTTAAAAAATTCAAACGGAAAACTTAAGGAACTTCAGAATGTTGTTTTCCTCCATTAGAATTTCCTCGTGTTAAGTTTGGTGTTATATTTGAGAAGACAAGCTTCTAAACAAACTGACCACAAGAATTCGTTAAGGCAGTAAGAGGTAATTTATGTGCATTACCAGGAGGCACACCTGAAAAACTGATGATGTACCGAAATGTCTTCCGAATCATAACAAAGAAGCTAGGATAAACAAAGTGCTTGACCCAACACCTCCCAAAAGGTCATGGTATAAGTTATTAATCTAAACCGCGATGCAGGCCCGTGGGGGCGTTATAATGTTACGGTCAATACCACTATTCGTTGGTAAAAGAGTAGCCCAAGAGTTGGCGGTGGGTGGTGATGACTAGCTGCCTTCCCTCTAGTCTTACACTGCAAAATTAGGGACGGCTAGCGCAGATAGCCCTCGTGTAGCTTTGCGCGAAATCCATAACAAACTAAACAGCGATGCTCTAAATGTCCGTTTTAGTGCAAAGTTGCGCAATATTTGCGCTTTCTCTGTCCGGGAGAGCGAACCCCGAATTGTGGCATCATAAGCTCCCAATTTTACCACTGACCCATCGAAAGACGATTCTCCTAATGTTTTACAGAATTTAATGTATTGCACTATTTTGGACAAAAAATATAGGGCGATCATTTGTTTTAATTAAAGCATAATTTAAGTTAATGATTCATATTTTTAGACTTTTTTTTTTTAATGATATTAACTTTTAATTCCTGATCTGCGTACTTTGTGAGAAGTTCACTCTTTTTCTTTCTGTACATTTCTTACTTGATGACATTGATAAAATATATGTTGAATTAAATCAATGAGTTATTTTGTCCTAACATCTGATTGGATTATTCAAACTTCATTTTATGTTCGCCTCAAATATTGCGACCTTTTGATCAACAAAAGAATCGCGCTGTTAGAGCACGTGAAATACCCAAACCCGAGCTTTTGATCAACAAAAGAATCGCGCTGTTAGAGCACGTGAAATATCCACGCGCTGTTAGAGCACGTGAAATACCCAAACCCAAGGAAAGTTGACCAGTTTCAGATGTTTGTTCACCGCATTGATTCAATCAATTCTGAGTGGACAGAATTCCGTCGTAACTTAGTGAACAAACAGATGGACACCGGTTATCACACGCAACGCAATAATAGTCTAGCTAATTCTGGATTACAGAAAGAAACTATCGAGTTTTGGATTTTACTATATCACCAGTGGTTTGGTTGATGTCAAGCACAAAGCCCAAAACCAGAATTTTAGTATCGAAAACCTGCAGACTTACAGCCGCGGGCATTTCGCTATTGTTAATGAAGAAAACCTGCAGACTTACAGCTGCGGGCATTTCACTATTGTTAATGAAGAAAACCTGCAGACTTACAGCCGCGGGCATTTCGCTATCGTTAATGAAGAAAACCTGCAGACTTACAGCCGCGGGCATTTCGCTATCGTTAATGAAGAAAACCTGCAGACTTACAGCTGCGGGCATTTCACTATTGTTAATGAAGAAAACCTGCAAACTTACTGCTGCGGGCATTTCACTATTGTTAATGAAGAAAACCTGCAGACTTACAGCTGCGGGCATTTCACTATTGTTAATGAAGAAAAGCTACAATGGAGCTAGAAGAAAAAGAGTAAAACTAAATATCCAATAGATATCAGTATAAATAATAAAAAACCTTTTCCTCGTTAATAAAACACACAAAAAGTAAAGTTTTATAGTTAGATAAAGCTTATTGGTTATGTTCCTTATTATTTAGTTTGTTAAACAACACGACTATAGTTGGGTAAAGCTTATTACTTATTACTTATCTTGTTAAACAACACGGCTAGAGTTGGGTAAAGCTTATTGGTTATGTTCCTTATTACTTATTTTGTTAAACAACACGGCTAGAGTTGGGTAAAGCTTATTACTTATTACTTATTTTGTTGAACAACACGGCTAGAGTTGGGTAAAGCTTATTGGTTAT